GCCACTTTTCGTTCTGGTAGCTTTCATTACTGTTTGAGTTGCATACCTACATTTGAACAGGGATTGCTGCGTAGAGGAAAGGTGGGTCATTTATGAGTTGGTTGATGTGCTTTGATTGTGTACATTTTATTGGAGTTTAACACAAAGTTCACCATGCATTATGAGTAGACAGCATCAGTCTTCTTGTATGTAGGATTTTTACCACCAAAACAAACTTGCTAAATCACACACAAAACGATGGGAGTAATACCTGAAAAATGCACTCTTATGGTTTAGACAGAATCATTTACCTTCATGAAATAGACACCTTTACAATTACAATAGTTTCATAATTAACTACAAAGAATTTTTTAAAAGATTACGATGGAAGGGTTGGCACTGTGATGAAGTGGGTAAAGCTACCACCTGTGACACCAGCATCCCATTTGGGTGCAGGCTGAATTCCAGCTGCTCCATTTCCCATCCAGCTTCCTGCTAATGAACTTGGGAAAGCAGCAGAAGATAGCTCAAGTGCTGAGGCCCTGGCACCATGTATGAGGCCCTGAAGAAACTCCAGACTCCTGGCTTAGGACTGGCTCAACTCTGGTCTTTGAGCCACTTAGAGAGTGGACAAGCAAATGAAAGATCTCTCTCTCTGTAAGTCTGCCTTTCAAATAAATGAAAATAAATTTTAAAATACCCAGAATAAAAGAGCAAAACAAAACACTGAGCTCTTAAGGGTTGGGAGTTAAGACATGCAGACTACTGTGTTTTAACCAAAGTCTGAGAAACTAAATCCTAAACTGCAGTTCCAAAGGCCGTGTTTATTCCATGGCAGCAGACACAGATACAGCCACACTAAAATGTAAGTGCAGGCTTGCCAACTCCACAGGTTTGGGTGGTTGCTAACTCAGCACAGTAAAAACCTGGAAGAAACGAGAACACCTTCTACATGGGCTCCGAGTCTCCTACGACCCAGCACCAGTACTTTCCACTCTTATCGACAACACCATCATCCAACACCCCAGGAAGGGGTCTACAATCCACCCTGGCACCCAGTCCCCCAAGATAGCAAAGACCAGCTACCTCCCACTATTTCTTCATGCATTTCTGTTCTTAGGAGTCACTGGTCTACATACAAACACTCGTTTTGGATCTGGCATGATGGCTCAACTGGCTAATCTCCCATCTCCAAGCACCATGATCCCATATGGGTGCTGAGCATGTCAAGCTGCTCCACTGCCCACCCATCTCCCTGCTGGTGGCCTGGTAAAGCAGCACAGGATGGCCCTAAAAAGATTCAGTGCCAATGTATCCGAGTCATCAGTTATACCCCATCAACTGTATCTAGATGAGTAAGAATCAAGGCAAATCTGGCACTGCAGCTATAACATCAAATCAACAGGAGTGAACTGTTAACAGCACACTTCCCTAAAACTCACTTTTAAATCTTGACTTAAGGGACAGAGAGAAATGGAGCTAGGATGGAACACATTATCAGGCTGAGAGGGAAGCGGAGTCTGCCCTTTGCTGGTTCATTCTCCAAATGCCTACGATAGGGCTGACCCAGGCTAGCACTGCCTGAACTCAATCCAGGTCTCCCCTGTGGATGACAGCAACCCAGCCAAGTGAGTCAGCAGCTGCTTCCTCCCAGGGTATGCGTGAGCAGGAAGCAGCAAAGTGGAACCAGGCACTCTGAGTATCAGAATGGGGGAAGGGGATGTCCCTCAAATGCTTGCTTGCCCAACACACTGATTTTCAAATGATAAAATACCCTTTCTATAAAAATAGAGGATCATGGCCAATAAAAAGGAAGAACTTACTCAGCAAATTAGCAAGGATGATCTCCAGTAATGTTTTCAAAAGTATCAGAAATTTTGATCATGTCTTCTCAAATCAGTTGCTTATTCCCACTAATATTCCCCTTTACTGAAAATGTGAAGGTATCCCTTAAGCTTCCCTTGAGCACCTGCAGCACACTCCTTTGCACATCATTAGAGGCAAGCCTCAGGGAGTCATGGCTTACAGGGTGAGACACACAATGGCCACACGTTATTAAATATTTACTTGGAATAAAGTACATATCAGCTACCCCTAGGTCTTAAAGTCCCCCCTTTCCCCTTACAGAGATAACTAGATGGTGGCTTTGTTCCAACCTTGATAATTTTACTTTATGAAACTCAGGTCATTCCACAGAACAGATTAGACAAAGAAAGCTGAGAGTTCTAAGAAGGATAGAGAGGAGCAAAAGAGGTGTTTTAGTTTGCAAACAGTCTACTCGCTGGGGAGGGGAAGAGAGTGCTAATATGCTCCAGATACAAAGATTTCAGTGCACACGGATCCTCTAAAGCACCTTTTATATTAATCACCAAATACATTCTGTTTACCTTTACCGCAGTGGAAGGTGGCATTGTGGCAGGCTGAGTAGCCTCACTGTCTGCAATTCTGGCATCCCATATTCAGTCCTGGCTACTCCACTTCTGATCCAGCTCCCAGCTAACACAGCTGGGAAAGCTGCTTAGGCCCCTGGCTTCAACCTGGCCCAGCCCTGGTAGTTGCGGCCATTTGGGAGAATGACCTAGTGGATGAAAGATCTCTCTCCTTTTGCGTTTCAAGTAAATAAATCTTAGAGAAAAAAAAAAACTGCCTTAAATGTTTGGCTGGGAAAAAATCCATTAGAAACAAGTCCCTCACAGGATACCCATAACTACAATCAAGTGGGGGGGGAGCGGGCATGAAGATCTCAGACGCAAAGCAAGGCAGGCTGCAGGGCCCACAGTTTGCTGAGCGTCTAGTACACTGATCTGTCCCACACCCTCACACACCGCATAGTGAGGGCCTTGCACAGCTGCATGCCCGTCTGTAATCCACAAAACCTTCCAACCTCCTTCGTTAGCCCCTTACAAAGGCCCCTTTACTTTCAGGTTCCCCTGTCCTGCACTGCTTACTGTTTACTAATTATAAATCAGTTTCTCAGCAGGAACAGTTACCAATGGCATTTCTGCGCTGGCTAGCCTTCTCAGGAGCCGGACAATACAGTACAATACAACAGAAACGCATCTGCCCTTCCAGCAAAGTGCTACAGTAACAGCGGTGGGGCTCTGGGTGATGCAACGTAGCCAGGTTTGGTATTTTGGCATTTTAAACCGTGGCTGCGGCAAAAGGAAGACCAACCAGTGAACTGGAGTTCAGTTTGAAAAGCTTTGCTTGCCAAGAACTACAGAGCCAAATCAAGACCTTCCAGGGAAAACACAGCCCATGTCACTTAAGAAACTGGAAATCGTTGTCCACAACAGTAAAATAAAGGGCCCAGCACAGGGGCTCAGCGTGCCAATCCTCCACCTGCAAATGCTGGCATCCCCTATGGGCACCGGGTCATATTCTGGCTGTTCCATGGTATGGCCTGAAAAGCAGCGGTTTGGCCCAAACCCTTGGGACCCTGCACCTATGTGCGAGACCAGGAAGAAACTCCTAGCCCCTGGCTTTCCATCAGCTTAGTTCGAGCCATCGCCGTCTTTTGGGGAGTGAAACAGAACCAGCTCATGGGAGATCTTTGTCTCTCCTTCTCTATAAATCTGCCTTTCAAATAAAAACAAATCTAAAAGGATAGTAAAATAAATTTAATTTCCATGGTAAGGAAGCTCTGTAATTCAGTATTTGCTTTCCACTGCTTCTTCCAACAACCTTGTTTGTTTTTCATTGGAGTCTGAACTTGTTATTCCCGGTTTGGGAAACAAGGGAGTGTGGGAAAGGAAAAAGACAACGGTAGGAGAGTGACAGCGTTTGCCTTTCATATCACTCTGCAGAAGAGAGCGGCGCCCCAAATGCAGCTTGGAGCAGAGGAAAAACTATGGGGCGGGAGCAGAATTAAGCTCCAAGGGTAAGTGGGTAGTGCCAATGCAAATTTAGCAAATCATTAACCCCCTGCAGCCACCTTTGTTCTCCCCTCCCCCCCCCCAGTCCCAGCTTTTCTAATAAGCCAGAACCTCTAGAAATTCTAGGCCAGCGGGCCTAACAGAACGGGTAAGAGATCAGATTTAGGCAGACAAAGGGCCTAGCCCGACATCCCCGGAGCACACGAGTCCACTGAGCCTCAGCAAGACTCTGCACCTCCCATTTTTTTCCCGTTGTGCAACAGAAAAAAAAAAAAAGCCTAGATTTTGCTCTAGTTTAGGTTCCCCTAAAGGCATACTGTGTAATACAACGAGGGGGGTGAAAACCTTTATTTGCTCAGAAAATAACATCTTCAGAAATCAAATCTATGGACATTCAAATTTCTGTGTGTGTGTAAGCTAGAGCACAACTCACAGACTCCCAACTCCTCTCTTCACCCTACATTTATCTTTTCCCGAAGCAAAAATCTGGTGTTAGCCAGGACCGGTACACACCCCCAGGGCTATTTCATTCCATTGGCTGGCAGGCCGCTCCGCAGCCTACACCCAGTGGATCTACTGTCAGGACGCCCAGTGTTTATTCGCCAGCGATGTTACACCGGACTGCTCGTTTAGTTTTTCCCCTTTTTTTTTTTTTTGTTTCCCCTCTGTCTTTGCTTCTGGTACCAAACAGAAGGCAGTCAGGGTGGGAAACTAGACTGACGTGTGATGAATAAATTACCCTGGTGAATGACACGATCTGGATTTCAAACCTAGAAGGCAAGTCAAGTTCCGTGTCCCTAAGTCACCTGTCACTGTTCTCAGAGTAGACTGAGGGGTGGGGGAAGGTGAGCGGTAAAAAAGAGCAACTTGTTTTCCAGTTTGTACTCAGGGAAACTGACCAGGCAGATTCGGGGCGGCGGGGCAGCACCCCAAAGGGGCCGCCGGTGCAATGGTGCGCTCCCGCAAGCAGCATCCACGCACGCAGAGACCCGGGGCGGCTCGCGGGGGAGGAGGCGGGCCCATCACAGGATGGTTTCAAGCCGGGGAAGAAAAAAAGAAAAAAAAGAAAGAAAACAACCACATCCCGCTGGACCGAGTGTGCCACACCCGAGGCGTGGGGAGGGCAGCCCCGGCGGGCGCGCTCACCTCCCTTGCAGGGCGTGCGGTGCTGGCTGTGCTGGGCCCGGTACCCCTCGATGACCTCCCACGAGCCGTCGTCGCGCCGGATGGGGAAGGAGAGGCTCAGCACATGGTTGCAGGGCTTGATGATCCGCAGGATGCCCCGCACTCGCTTCCGCTTCTGCTCCTCGCTCTCGCGGGTGCGCAGATCCTCCACCAGCTTGTCCTCCACGATGCTGGCGCCCCGGTCGAAGAAGCCCTCCACCATCTTGAAGAAGTTGGGGTCGTCCTCGCGGTCGGCCGCCGCCTCGCTGTAGTGGCGCCGGGCCGGCAAGGCGAGCCCCGGCTGCGGGGCGCACGGCTGCCCGCGGGCCCATCCCAACAGCGAGGCCGAGTCGGCGGTCACCGCCGAGCCCAGCGCCGCGGCGGGTCCAGCCCGCGACAGCAGCAGCGCTTCGCCCAGGCAGCGGTACATGGCGGCGGCGGCGGCGGCGACGCGGAGGGGGCAAAAAAAAAAGAGACACTGGAGCTCGCGGACCTCCGCACCCAGGGAGGAAGGGCTTGGCGCGGGCTGCCCTTTTAAGCGGCGGCTTCCTGCCCTGCCTTGGCTGTCCCCTCCCCTCGGCCGCCCGTCGCCTAACGGGGAGGAGGGCGGACTCGCGGGCCGCCGGGCCCCCGCCTCCGCCGCGGCCTCCCTGCCCGGCCCTGCCCGGCCTGCCCGGCCTCCCCGGCGGCGGCGGCGGCGGGAGCGCGCATGCTCCGCGGCTCCGGAGGGGGAAGGGCACCGCCGGTGGCGCCCCGGATCTACCCCGCTCTCCCCCCACCCCCCCGCGCCCGCGGCGCTCTCAGGTCTGAGGGGAAAGTCGGGGGGACCCGATGGGCGAGGGGCGTCCGGGGAGCGGCCGCGGGGGGCTCTGCCCGGGGTTAGGGGCGCGGCCGCTGCGGTCTGGCCGAGTGCCCGGGACCAGTGAGTCACGGTGTCCGCTTCCCTTCCGCGTCCCCCGGAGGAAGGCCCAGCGGCCTCGCCCCGCGGGGGGAAAAGGGAAGCCCGAGGGCTGAGGGAGGAATCCCTGCTTGGCTGGCCTTGCCCTCAGGCGTGAGCCTGGCGCCCTCTTCCCCTGGACCGCGAGGTGGCCGCGCCTCCCCGAGGCTGGCCGGCCCGCGCGTCCCTCTTGAAGTGCAGTTTTCCGAAATCGTCCAAAATAAAGCAGGGGACCTGGAAGCGCCAATACGGCTGCACCCCCCCCCCCACCTGCCACCCCACTTCCAGAAATGTTGTCCCATGTTAGTTTGCAATCCATTCCTAACTGAGGCGTGTTAATGAGGAAAGGCACGTTGCAAAAAAGAAAGAGAAATAACCGTGCAGGAGTTTAGAAACGGTTTTGTGCCAGAATAAACGACTTGTAATGCCGTTTCTCCACGGGCTTTGGGGTGGTGATGGGTAAACTCGAAGCTGCGTGAGGGTTCACTTGGATGCTTGCAAAAATCTAATGACTCAGCCTTTTAGCAGCCGCGGACTAGGGCCAGTTACCGGCCCTGCTTTCCCATAGTGCAAGGTGCCTCCGGGACTTGACTTTGAGCTACCTGACCTGTCCACATGCTTACCTCTTAATAGATGGGAAAGTTCATTCTCAGAACCTGTGTCAAGTCAATTAGATTTCCTTATCCCCAGAGCAAAAATCTTCCCATGCTGATGATGCTTGTGTGTGTTCAGCTTATTTGCTATAGAAATCACAGGCGTCGTGTATCTGTCTTGTAGGTTTCAGCCAAACATGTTCCCTGACCGGAATCCTGAGTTCAACTTTATGATCAAAAATTAAGGTACCAAATTTATTTACTTTTCACTTGATTTTTTTTTTTTTTTTGCGATTCTGTGTTGCAAGTTACATAAGGTTGCAGAGTAACTACCACCACTCTCTCCTTCAGACCTGTCATTGCAGAATTTTTTGATTAGCATCAGTAAATAGGAAGACTATTTTTTTCTTCTGAGATAAAAGTCTTTGGTTGAGTTTTGAAGAAAGTGGTTTTATTATCCTTGTTTATCTCTCGCTCGATAACCTTAACCTTTTGGGGAAAAAAAAAAAATGTTTGCCTTTGTTTTCTCTTGGGCTTGTTCACCTGGCTTTGGGAGGCATGGAAGGTGATGAGGCTTGGCAGGTGGCCCTGCGGGAAGGATTTCCTAAGGGGAATCTCAGGAAGTGTGTAGAGCTCTTGCAAAAAGACTAAACAAGCACATTGGATATTTAAAAAAAGAAAAAAAAAAACCCCAACTTTCATTATATTTAAAATTCAAGTTGTAAAAATCTTCAAACAACAGATACTTAACATTTTTTTAAAGTGTCATTTGTCAGTCACACCCCATGATTTAGGAAATAATTGAAGTCTTTTCATTTCCACTCTGAGGTAGATCATGTAACTGCTGCTTTAACAATGGGGTTGGGGGGCAACAGGCTGGAAGACCACAGAGGTGGCTCTGGCTCACCTTGCTGGATTAGGCTAAAGGTCAAGTACATCTCAGTGTACAGTTAGGCTGTTCCTGCTGTTCCAAGAAACAGTATTCCATTTGATTTAAAATGTTTTAGTTACGATGTCAAGTCTAGGGAGTTTAAGCTTTATTGTATATGATTGTCTTTATAAAATATCCAGACAGTGTTTAGCTGTTGGTAGTCGTTTCTGGTTCAAAGCAAGACCGGAGTTTAACTTTTAGTGCTTGGTAATTTAATGTCACCCAACAATGACAGTTTAGTGTTCTGCCTCCTGGGTTTCTAGGAATTTTCCAATGTTTTACGATAGGATTTTGAATCTGTTTTTCTTGATCTAGAGCATACTTTGATGGTTTCAATTGCATTTAAAAATGCTAAAGAGTGTTAGAATTTAGAAAACCATAATGTATGAATATGTGGACGATAGCCATTTGAAAAAAATAATTTTATTTAAAAAGATAGTGTGTGCTTTCTGTCTCACAGATTTGTCCATTCTGGACGTTTATAAATGGAATCAGGCAGCGTGTGCTCCCTAGAGACTGTCTTCTTTGACGCTGGATCATTTTGTAAATGCTTATCCACGTAACGTGTCAGTACTTCATTTCTTCTTACAGCATTGTGAGTCCTACTACATTAAAAAAAATATGTATTTATGTATTTTAAAAGAACAACAAAGAGACAGAGAAGGCTTCCAACCTCTGCCTCACTCCACAAGTGGTTACCACTGCTAGGTCAAAGCTGTACCTGAGGTCAGGAGCCAGGAGCCTCATCGTGGTCCCCTAAGTGGGTGGTGGGGTGGGGGGGCTACCCCAGCACTTGGGCCATCAGCAGGGAGCTGGATTGGAACTGGAATATCAAGAGCAGGAAGTGGCAGCCAGCTCAGGCTGTAACTTAACAAGCTGTGTTACAATGTTAACCCTTCTAGGTATGTTTCTATATGGATCCTTTCTCTCTCAGATTTTTTCTTTTCCATCTGAAAGGGAGATTTACAGAGAGAAAGCGAGAAAGATCTTCCATTTGCTGGCTTACTCCCCAAGTGGCCTAACTGAGCTGAGCCAATATGAAGCCAGGAGCCAGGAGCTTCTTTGGGTCTCCCAGGCAGGTACAGGGTCCCAGAGCTTTGGGCCATCTTCCACTGCTTTCCCAAGCCACAAGCAGGGACAGAAACTAGTGCCCGCACGGGATTCCAGGTGTGAAAGGTGAGGATTTAACCACTGGGCCATCGTGCTAGACCCTACAATTTTTTTCTTTTTTAAAATCTGCTCATCCTTGATATAGTTTTTGCTGGGCATGAATCATTCAGATGTGAACATTCTTGCACAAAAATTATGTGGATGTAATTTCAGTTCTTTTGAATAGAATTCCAAGGTCATATGTTAATGCCATGTTCAGTTTTCAGGAACTATCAAGCTTTTTCACAGTGGCTGCAACACATTAATTTTCTTACCAGCAGTGAAAGGAGGGTTCAAATTTGTCTACAACCTCACTGACATTTTAAAAAAAATTGATGTATTTTATTGTACCGTCTGATATGTACAGAAAGGAGGAGAGACAGAGAGGAAGATCTTCTATCCATTGATTCACTCCCCAAGTGGCCACGAAGGCCAGTGCTGAGCCTATCCAAAGCCAGGAGCCTCTTCTGGGCGTCTCAGGCGGGTGCAGGGTCCCAAGGCTTTGGGCCATCCTTGACTGCTTCCCCAGGCCACAAGCAGGGAGCTGGATGGGAAGCAGGGTTGCCAGGATTAGAATCACCAGGATTAGAATTGGCAATCATATGGGATCCCCACACATTCAAGGTGAGGACTTTAGCCGCTAGGCCGCCAAGCTGGGCCCTTACCAACATATGTTATCTGTCTTAATTGTAGTCATCCCAATGAGTATGAAGCCTTACTCATTTGCATTTCTTTGATGGCTGATGATGATGTTAAGTTTGCTTATTGGTAATTGGAGTATCCTCAGAGAAAAGCCTAACCAGAGAGTTAGCAGTTGAGTTACTTGTCTTTTTATTGTAGAATACGTGTAAGAAAATTAGGTAAATGATTTGCAAGTATTTTCACATATTTATGGTGTCTTTGGAGCACCATGAAATGTTTATGTATTTGAGAGTCAGAGTGACACAGAGAGAGATTTCCTCTGCCAGTTCACTCCCCAGATGGCTGCAACAGCTTGGTTTAAGTGAGGATTCTGGAAATCCATCCAGGTTTCCCAAAGAGTTGGTAAGGACCCCAGATTCCTGGAGGAATCAGCTGGTGATTGCCAGGGCATGCTGAAAGTTGGCTTGGAGTGTGGTAACCTGGCCTTGAACTCAGGCACTCCCGTAGGGGTGCAGGAATTCCAAGCATGACTTAATCTGCTATACTAAAACTCCCGCCAAAGGCAAAAGTTTATAATTTTGATGAAGTCCAATTTATAAATTTGTTGTTGTTGTCACCTGTGCTTTTTCAGACTCTGTCAAGGCAACTGCAGGTAGAATATGATATTCAATATATATACGCCAGGCTAATTTTTATGTTGAATAGTCTATATGGCCCTTGGCCCAGTGCGATAGTGTAGTGGTTAAAGTCCTTACCTTGCATCCACTGGGATCCCATATGGGTGCCAATTCTAATCCTGGCAGCTCCACTTCCCATCCTGCTCCCTGCTTGTGGCCTGGGAAAGCAGTCAAGGACGGCCCAAAGCCTTGGGACCCTGCACCCGCGTGGGAGACCTGGAAGAGGTTCCTGGATCCTGGCTTCAGATCGGCATAGCATCGGCCGTTGCAGTCACTTGGGGCGTGATTCAGCGGATGGAAGATCTTCCTCTCTGTCTCTCCTCCTTTGTATATCCGCCTTTCCAATAAAATAAATAAATAAATAAGTCTTTAAAAAAAGTCTATATGGCCCATAAATGATGTTATAAATATCCAGATGACCCTTGGTGGGAAAAAGATTCCTCAGCCCTTGACTCAGAGGTCATAGAGATTTGGGAATATGTTTTATTCTAAGGGTATTAGAGTTTTAACTTCTACATTTAGATCTTTGATCCATTTTAAATTAATTTTATGTATGGAATGAGGAAAGGAATTCAGCTTCATTCTTTATTTTTAAGATTTATTTATATTTATTGGAAAGTCAGATACACAGAGAAGAGGCAGAGAGAAAAATCTTCCACCTGTTGATTCACTCCCCCAGTGGCCACAGTGGCTGGAGCTGAGCTGATCTGAAGCCAGGAGCCAGGAACCTTTTCCTGGTCTCCCACACAGGTACAGGGTTCCAAGGCTTGGGCTATCCTTGACAGCTTTCCCAGGCCACAAGCAGGGAGCTGGATGGGAAGTGGAGCTGCTGGGTTAGCTGTCAGGGCCTATATGGGATCCTGGTGTGTTCAAAGCAAGGACTTTAGCCACTAGGCCACTGCGCCGGGGGACCCAGTTGCTACACTTTTTTAAACTTATATTTCTTTCTTTAAAAGAGAAGGGTAATATCTTGCAGAGTGGCTATGAGAATTGAATCTTTTTGAGTTTGTTTTGTTTTGTTTTAATTTTTATTTTTGTTTGAAAGGCAGAGTTAAAGAGAGGAGAGTGAGAAAGAAAGAGAGATTTTCCATCTGCTGGCTCACTCCTCAAATGTCCTTAATGGCTAGAGCTGGGCTGGTCTGAAGCTGGGAGTTAAGAGTTTCTTCCAAGTCTCCCACTTGAGTGCAGGGTCATCCTGACTGTTTCCCCAAGCCACAGACAGGGAGCTGGTGAGAGGTGGAGCAGCCAGGATTCAAACTGATATGCATATGGGATGCTGGCATTGTAAGTGGAAGCTTAGCCCGTCCCTAGAATTAAATGTTAAAGTATGTGTATGTGTGAGACATAGAATGTTCTCCGTGTCAGTTACCTCCCTTTCTTGCTTAAGAAGATAGATGCAAAAGTATATTTTGAACGAATTATGAACATAGTGAAAAAGGAAAGAACACTTTTCAGTGTGTCAGGGTGCCTTTTGCTGATACCAGCTTCACTTCCCCTGAAGTGAGGTTGTCATGGTACAGGTGGTATGGCAGTTCAAACCAGCTTCTTTCTGGCTTTCCGGCTCCCCTCGTAAGCAAAGCTTGACTGGGCAAACATGGACCTGTGTGTTAGCTCACTTATTATTAATATTGAACCAGCATTGGTGCTGACTTCTTTTTTTTTTCTTCTGAAATGTCACTGTTGTTTAAAATCTGAAAGCCTCATAGAGTACTTCATGGTGTGAAGTGTCTTTCAGAGTGGTCTTATCTGGCAGTTGGTTCAACATCATGTGTATGGGACAGAGTTATTAATATGTTTACACTTGCTGCAGGATGTGTGTTAGATTTCTGTGGCAGTCTCCTTTTGAT